AATCCACTCACCTCGGCCTCCCAAAGCGCAGGATTACAGGCTGAGCCATCGAGCCTGGCTTATTTGAACTTTAAAAAAAAATGCAGACTGCCAGGACATTTAAAATGACCAATGTGGCTTCATCGCGGCTGACATTCGATTCTTTTGGACAGTGCTGGTCTAGGCTGCACTGGCCCTCTCGCTGGTGGTGGGGACTCAAGTCAGGCCAGGGGTGTGGGTCGTGGTGGCCGTGGCTGGCTTCTCGAGGAGGGACCAAGGGAATCATCACCCTTCAGCCCCTGGCCAGAGGGAAGAGAGTCCGCAACTACACCATTCCTTGCCACCCCGGGGCCGGGCCTCTCTCTGTCAGGACTGGGCGAGGGCAGGGGCCTGAGAGGGACCCCTTCTTTGCTCTCCAGCCCCCACTGGAGGCACCGTGCCAGTCTACCAGGCTGCACCAACAGTGCCCCAGCAAACAAACAGGCGGGTACGGTGACAGCTGAGGCTTAGAGACCTGAGCACCCTGGCTCCCTGCCCACTCCCTGATGGTGCCCAGTTCAGAGCTGGGGGTGGGGAGGGCAGGGGAGCTCTTCAAACCCACTGGTGTCTGGGACCACACTCCACTGCGGTGTACGACCCTCAGAGATCACCCAGGCCACCGTGAGGTTTTTACGTGCGGAACCACCCAGGCCCAGGCCAAGGTGGAGGCTGAGGCTGAAGTTAGGGCCAGGGCAGAGGAGTGGAGAAGGCCCCCAGTCCCAGGGCTTGATGGCATTGGCATGGCCAGTGGCCCCGTGAAGGCTGGCTGGGCAGGCGCGGTGGGGGGTGCCAGGGCCACAGGAGGTGACAGAGGATGGGCTGGGAGGGTGCGTGGGGAGACACATGACGGGGCTTGGATGGAGGGCTGGGGAGACAGGGCGCACCAGGTGTCAGGAGGATTTGGGAGCCACGAGCCACGCTGGCACCTGCATGTGAGTTCAGCTGGAGGCAGAGGGAGGTTAGGGACCCACCCGGTCTCGGTGCGGGGTTCCACCTCCGAGTCCTACGTGTCTCTCCTCCCAGCACTGACCCTCCAACCCTAGTGATGAGGAACATTTCAAAGGCTTGGGTAGACGCTGCACATAAGACCCCAGCATGACCCTACCGGGGCCCACCCACCCCACCCTGCATTCGCCCCAGCCACAGCTTCCCAAGGCCCCATCCCATGTCCTAGGGAGACGCTCATGGGACCTGGCTGCCTCTTGGGGTCTGGGGCCGTGCAAGGGCCCCACTCTCGGTTCTGTTCTCTCCCGAATCCTGCACTCCACCAAGTTCATGGACAGAGAGAAGAGGGGGAGGGAAAGGGATCCTGAGTCAGGGCCCCTCTTCCTGCAAAGACCCCACTCTGCCCCGCAAGTGCCTGGTCCTCAGCTGGGTGGAATATGGTCCCTCTGTGATTTCAGGGAGAAGCCAAGGGAAGGCACTTGGGGACATGGAGCTCAGGGCCAGTGCCTGGGGACAGGCAACCACCAGCAGCCCCCACTGGCGAAATCGGAGCCCGAGCAACTTCCAGGGCCAGATTTCACCCCGGGGCAGGTCCCCTTCTGCCTTGTCCCAGTCCCCAGCAAATCTCCGAAGAGACACTGCTGACTGGGAGTGGGGAGCAGGAGTGGAGGCTGGGCCCAGAGGGAGGTGAGCCAGGAGGGTCTGAGGGCAGGGGGTGGCCGAATGGGAGAGGGTGGTGGGGAAGCCAAGAAGTGCTGAAGTCACCCTGGGAGAGGGACAGGACAGGGCCAGGGGTGGTAGGTGAAGGGGAGGGTCTGGGAAAGGGGTCTTGAGCGCGCTGGGGCTGAGGCTGTGTCAGGGGGTCAGGGAGGGGCTCAGGATTTGGGGGAGGCAGACACGAAGTTTGGGGGCTGTCGCGTTCTGAGGACTTCCGGATGGGGGGCCTGGGGAGGAGGGGTGGCGCGGGCTGGAGGAAGGCCGTCCACGTCCCCGAGTCGGGGAGGGTCTCAGGATTCCGGGGGCGACATCTCGCGGGGCGCAGCGCTCGCAGGGGGCCCGGGCGGCGCGGTGGTCCAGCTCACCTGTAGACATCGGTCCAGAGGTAGGTGCCCAGCACGTACACCGCTTCCACGCGGCTCCCGTACTGCAGCCGCACGGTCCGCTCGCGCA